CTCTCTCGCATACGCACTAACGCAACTTATTGATTAACTGGCAGTTTAAAAGCCACTTATGTCACTTACTCATATTCTACTCACTTTACTCACTTACATACACACAAACCTGAATCACTTACATTTACAGACTCACCTTACAAATAGACTATTTCTCTAACTCATTAACTCACTCACATTACGTACTCATTCATTCACTCAACTCACGTACTCATTCGTATACCCACTCACTAGGCTAGCCATTTTAGCCAAAAATAAGACCCAACCTCAAACAAATTCCTTCAGAAAAGATATTTATATATTTGTTATCTACTACAGGAAAAAAGTCCTAAAAAATCGAAGTATAAAATGCTAAAAATGTCATATATTGAAATCATGTTAGCTTTTAATTGGAAAATCTGTGAAGTTACTTTACGCATATTGTCCTGGACAAAGTAACACAATAAAACACAAACATGCTTAATTTAATCTAAAACACTTTAACAAAGTTTATAACATTCAAATAGTCGCAACACTGCATAATTTATACATTACCATTCAGACTGGTTTAAAACATTACCCCACCCACTAATAAAGTCTCCTTTTTTTACTTTAAGTCAGATTACATTAAATTAAATATTATTGTAATTTAGCTCTACAAAGAAATGTCATTGTATGAATCTTTCTAAATTGATATTATAATTCAGAATTTAAATGCATTTTACACAAATAATAATTATTTTTTTTACATTGTATTTGCATTTCGGTTCTGGAAACCAATCCTTCGCAATGGGTTAATATTTTACCAATGTTAAACTGCATTTTTGTATAAAATTTATTAAAGAAAGACATTTTAAAATAAAATTAACATTTAGACACTGAAAAAACACAATGTTATTTCATTTTGTGACCGAGGCCCGACTATCCATATTGTCAACAACACTACTACACATGTACATATTGCCAAGCCCATGTACAACGCTGAAATTATATCTTCTGTAACTTTTGTACCCAGTGCTACTGATCTCTTTAACCTTCCCTTCTCACAGAGATATATTGTTCCGCATCTGTAAAAATTGTTACAACATAATATGATAATTAAAAGCCAAACTTTGAATTATGCTTTTAAAATGAGACAATTTAATGTCAAATTGAAAATGTAGCCACTATAGTATAAAGCATGCTTGGATTTTGTTTTTAGAATTATATTTCTATACTGAATTGTCTACAAATAATTCATACATTAATGAGACACTTTTAGCCTCAGCAATGAATACATTTTTCGTTTTAGAAAACATATATCATGTAATACTGTTAATCATAACGATTTAAGTGCTTAAATTGCCTATCACCCAAAAGAAACGCTGACTGTTAAATATTATTATGTGCCATATAGGTAGGAACAATAAACAAAATGGCACCTAAGCTTCCATACTATAGAATTTATATTCCACACATAATACAAAACTCAAATAACTATTCTTGATTTCCCTTCATCGTTTATTTGTTGATAATGTTTAAAACATTTTAATCTAAAATTAATACTCAAAGCTGCATTAAATTAATTTCATAAAAACAGAAAAAGCGACATTTCATCAATAAATTGGGTTTCATATTGACTCCAGATCTCATTTTGGTGTCCAGACAAAATGAGTTTTATAAGCAAAAAAAAAACTGCACATGGCTTCAAGTAGCAGTCCTAATTTAACGGAATATTTCCGCATTGTGATGGATGTTTTCATACACATTTAATCTTTTTCATGCAATGACTACTTTTTTCTGAACGCCAGGCCTTATGCACCATGAAGCTAATACGGTTGAGGTGTGTTTGCACAAGAACATCCCTGTTTCAGATAGCAAATATAACATTGTGACATAGCGCATACATGAGCTGATTGTATGTTAAAAACTTTAGTGTTACAGCGGGGTTTTTCGTTTAAAATAATAATTTATGAACAATATTTGATGAGATTTACATCAAAACTGTTTAAAGGTTAATAAAACTGTTGAATGCTTGGTTTTTTAGGTAGGCCGACGACAAAATAGTTTTACATTTTATTTAATGCAGCCTTAAATTTACAGTCAGTGTTTTTCTTTCTTACATATGTTTGACCAGTCACTGAATATTTTATTTCCCAAAACAAATATGTTAACTTTCAAAACATTAGTATCTGACTGTCACTCTTGAATTCTCTTAGAAAATTTTCTACCAGTCAGTATTTACAGTAAATACTCTATCTCTCCATATTTGGAGGTTACCCTAGTGTTAAATTACAAACATAAGCCATCTCTATTTATGACGACAAGTGTTACTAAAATCAAACAGACTGATTCCTAGAATATTTATGATGGTAACCGATTATTGAGTTACTCCTAAAAAGATCTATTGCAGGCCACTTGTCCAGAATTTATGAAGATAACCGTTGACAGGGTTACCATACTAAAATCTCACAGACTGATACACAATCTAGCCCCACAGATATATAATTATAAATAACGACAACAAATGAGGTCTCAATTCTCATACAAACTCAATCGTTAAATCAAAATTTAACCAGGTTAAAAATGTAGATTGTTTTTCTTTGATTTACCTGTTTGTGTTTTTAAAGAAATGCTCAGCCCATTTAGCCTTCTCAACTTGGAAATGGAAAACTCGTGCCACATCCAATCAACGGATTGATTTATGTTCGACAAAACGTATGAGGCCGGATTTCAGGCTGTTATCTCTCGCTAAATATTGTCTTCTGAAATCAATCACCTCATAATATGTTTAGCCCTTCCTCTGAAAATAAGGTATAAAAGTCCCAAAAACATTATCAAAAGGAAAGTTTAAAATGATATAATAGGGAAACGCCTAAGATAATATTGATATCAGCAAACCCTTTGGTATGTACATTTATTATAATCATGCTATAAAATAATGATGTGAATTTGTGTTGATACATATTAACCCGCCTGAAAGACATCCAATTGTTTAGTTTTCATTCTTTCAATCAGATATAAAAGTATCTAAAAAGCCATTTTTTTCTCTCACATACCATCTGCCATTGTGTAGAAGGCACGTGCCCATCCATCTTATAGCTAATTATGCAACAACTGTTCTAAAAATGTTGAAAACAACATGGAAAACATTAATTAAATATACATACAACTGGCTCTGGTATCATAAGGGCATATTATCAAGTTTAGACAGCATTCGGAAAGAAAACAGTCGAAGCAAATTTGATTTTTTTTTGTTTAAAAAAGAATAGAATGGTTCAAGATTAAAATCCATATCAAATGCAATTTTAAATCTGGTCTGTTAACATCTCATTTTATTTTCCTCTCCGAATATGTCATCCTAGTATTTATGTAAATTTTGTGTTTTAAAAGCCATTTTGGTAAGTGAAAACTATTGCAATAAAATTAGATTATCAGACTAGTCCAAAATGTTTAGATTGAAAGAATAAAAAATAGTTAAAAACATAAGATATAAAACTTTTTAGAGAAGTAAAAGTAGTGTATAAAGTACCTTGATTAAGTAATAAAGTAGCTTAATTACACTCTGTTTTGATACGCTTTCTATATTCATGTAACATGCTGAAATATAAATATTATGCTTAGAAATGCATTAATATTGCAAAATACGCTTTGTTTACATTAAGATGCCATTATTTGATTTAATTATGATTTCCACAATTCATAAAACATGCAAACTCTTTGAAATAAGTCAGATTTAAAATTTTAAAAACAATACCTATATGTTCGTGATTTTGTTCACAATACGCTTCCGTAGAAAAGAAAAATTACAGAACTTTTGCATTTACATTTTTTTAAATACCTAGTAAAAATGTATGGTTATTTCTGTGTCATTAAAGATAACTGTACAAAAGAAAACAAAGTATGACAGTGAGTAAAAGATAAACAATCTTTTAATGATTACTTTATTCAAAATTGTGTTCAAAATCGCGAAATTATATGACACCTTTTGTCATCTGCATAATCGAGAGGTTTGTGGTCAATTCTTTTTATATACAAACATATTTGTCCCTTAAAATTTATACAGCTGCATATAAAAGTGACTTAAATTACTCACCTTTGCTTTTGGAATGCGGGAATTGAATTTACTTCTATGGTGACATGTGTGTGTGTTTATTTATCTCGTGGCCACGAGATACTATGTCGTGGTCACGAGTTTCTAAGTCGTGGCCACGAGATAGCTAAGTCGTGGCCACGAGATACTATGTCGCGGCCACGAGTTACTAAGTCGTGGCCACGAGATAGCTTAGTCGTGGACACGAGATACTATGTTGTGGCCACGAGATACTATGTCGTGGCTACGAGATAGCTAAGTCGCGCCGACGAGATGGTTACGTCGTGGCCACGAGATGCTTTGTCGTGGCCTCGAGTTACAAAGTCGTGGCCACGATATAGCTAAGTCGTGGCCACGAGATACTATGTCATGGCCACGAGTTACTTAGTCGTGGCCACTAGATAGCTAAGTCGTTCTACGGCCTGTTAACCTTGTTTATACGATAACATGAGAAGGAATATATCCTGGTTTATTTTAGAATTTGGTCACAATGAGGCTAAATATAAAATTATTGGCCAGTCAATAAGTTGTATAAATGGCACTTTTACAGGCTGGTGAAGTAGGGGCATCCTTGTACTATAGCCAATGTCTAGTTAATTAGGGTAATTCATAATAATGGTGTAATCTGATTGGTAATTTATCTCGTGGCCACGACTTAGTAACTCATGGCCACGACAAAGTATCTCGTGGCCACGAGATAAATAAAAATACACACATGTCACCTTTGTGCCACCGTATACTTCAGATCTTTCAATGAAAATATAATAAACGTGACGTCACCGGAAGTGCATAACATCAAAGTATGGTGTTATTTAAGAGACACGTTTAAATATTGATTTTTTCTTAACTTAATGATCGATTTTTCAGGATTCTATAAGGAGTTTTTTAGGACTTTTTTCTCAAAATGTAGATTATGTTTATTTATTTATATAATCGTGAAAACATTTGTGAAGGAATAAGTTTTACCATATTTTTTATTATGACTGGCCTACAACATATTTAACGCAGATAAGACACTTCATCACAATACATATGTACTTACGCAGACACGAACTAACACTTTCATCACGCACGCTTTACTTATCATTTCTCTCGCCCCCTCACCCACTTTCATAAATTACAACATGGTGATGAGACACTTAAATATTCTTAGTATTGAAAGATTTATAATGTAATGTACTAGAGATAATATCAGGGCCATAACATTTAAACATCTATTTGAATAATTAACAATATACATACATTTGCTTCAATTTATATCAATACTTCACTTGTGATAGTGCTTGACAAGGATAGCATTAATACATTTTGAAACATGTATTTTCTTCAATTGTTAGCGTTTATCATTTTGTTTTTCATGTACAGTAAGTTTATTGCATGTTAATTTTATATACAAATCTAAATTTCTTCTGTTTATGTGTTTGTATTGTTTCATCATTTGAATCTTATTATCTAAATATCAAGAGCAAGATTGTTTACTTTTTTCATTAAATTATTCATTTAATCAATAACATGAAATCATGTTAAATAACTCAAATGAACAGGTTAACAAGTAAAGTGTACTATCGTGAAGTTGATTTATATGACAGCTACCTATAAAAATATTGTTGACATTTTGTATTAGCCTAGTGTGTAGACCAGTTGTTTCAATACAGTTGAATTGTAATGATAGAGCTTGAAATTGTTTAAAATTTACATTTGACAGAATCACATAGTCTCCCAGACGGATTCTGTAGCAGGACAGATAGTAAACAGAGTAAGTAAAATATATTATGTGAACAGTTTGTCTAATCTAGAAAGAAAAAACGTATACTTTTAAAACGTTTGATACGATATATTTAGATTAATTTTAACATCATTATTTTATTTTAAGATAATCAGGATGCTGATAATTCATTAGTGAAGATGGTACTTAATAAATTTGACACCTAAAACTCAAAAAGCGTAGAAATTGTGAAACAGGACAGCCATACTTCGATTTTGAAATCGAACTTAAACAGCTAGCCTAGAAATCCGCTCTTCTATGACATACACCACATTCTGATAAAACTGAGAGTTTTGGAAAATGCTTCATCTCTGTTATTTTCTTATATTTGCTACCTCGATATTACTAAAAACTTTATTTCATATCCATAAATTTTGACATATGATTAAGCATATACATATTTTGACAAAATAATCATATTCATTTTCCTTACAGTTTTAAGAATATGTACAGAGGACCGGATGCTAAATACAAAAACTGCTTATATTGATACTATCCAGGCTCCTAAATTTAGAAACACATCTTGTGAATGTCACATCTTACCTTCTAGTTACTACACTATTTTGGTGTTGAGGATGATAAATATCACTCAAGGGTCACAATTGAAATTTGAAATAATGGGAAATGTTTTTGACAGAATAACTAGATCACGTTTAGTACGTATCCAGGGAAACACTAAGCTTAAGTTTATTACTCATACAACTCGGGAACAAGAGGGAGCTTGTCTCGCCATCTATCCAAGTACGTACCGCATTTATATTTCAATTACAGATCATTTTGATACATTGTAGATATTGATTTTAAATTGAACATAAGCCTCCAAACCGTAATCATTCAATGATTCTTGTTATATGTTCAAGTTGGGTTGTGCGTGTGTGTGCGTGCGTGCGTGCGCGAGCGCGCGTGCGTACGTGCGCGTGTGTGTGTGTGTGTGTGCGTGCGTGCGTGTTCTTTAACTTTGATTCGGAGATGGTCAAACATTAAGCATGAAAAATAAGCTTTAAGTTAGGTAAAGATTTATTTTTTGTTTAGAAAATCCAGATGACACATTCAGTATTCATTGCACAAATGTTGTTACAACAACAACAACAACAACAACAACAGAAAAGATGCCAGTTTCAAATTCAACTAGTCAAATGACTCAAACCATGTCTTCTCTGTCATCAATATCTAAATCCCACACATTGTCGACAAAAAAACAGAAGTCTACAAAAGTCGGTCATGAAAATACAGCAGACAACGGAAGTAGTGGCAGTAAAGGTATACTCTAGCAAATTGAAATACAATGTATCATTCAAATTTAAAAATCGCAGAAGGTTTGTATCAGTTAATGTAAAGATTATAAATTCAATTGTTTAGCACATTTTATAATAAAAAAACAAGGCAATACTTATTTATTACAATATTTATGTACGATTGATAGCAACTTTTGTTACGCAAATGACATTAAGAAGAATTTTTAACTGACAACTGCGTGTGACATACATAAATATGTTGATTTTGATTTCTGTCATTCAACGATTATTTCAAAATAGCCTTTATAATTTTTTTTAGCTCAAATATATTTTAATATACAAATGAAAAAGAATCAACACATAAAAGCATGTAATATACGTTAAGATTTTTCCTATTTTTTAGTATTTTCTATAGGTCTAGTTGCTGCGCTTGTCGATGGTATTCATTTGTAAATACGTTCCTGTTTCTTCTATTTAAGATACTTATATTCCTACAAAATTATCTTATAATTGTAAAGTTATTTCAACAAAAAAGGTATTTTATGTGACATAAATGTACTTGTTTTACTTGACATGATATACTTTGAAATGAATTGTGAGTACATTTTAATGAAGTTTGAAGTTTTGTATGTGTAGCATATACCTTTACCGCGATGTTGAAAGAAAAGATCTATTTGAAAATCAATGGGTTTAGCAGAGATGTTTGGACTTTTTTATTGAAAATACATTGCTTTGTAACTTGTTTGGCAATTTCTTGGTTTGTTTTAAAAAATTTAAACAGACACCTGTATATTTGTATTCATTTACGATTTCTAAAGTTTCATAACATTACAAGGGAAGTAATCAGTTTTTACTCTATTTACAAAAATGCATGACTTAGCGTTTTCATACATATTTTTATAGCATTAAAGAAAGATCCATATTTTGTTAAGAATAAGTTTTTCCCAAAAACCATCTCTCCAAATAGTATCTAAGTGTGTATTTATACAATAATATTGAATTTTTAAAGGAAAAGTTAAGTTATCAATTTCATTACCATCAATGAAGTTACCACTGTATTATTTAAACGTATATAAAAAAAATCATAATAGTAATTATTAAGTGTTTGTTTTTCAGTACCAATTGTGACTGCAAGTATCGCAACTTTCATCTGCTCAGCAGGTTTTGTAATACTTATCGTTATAATTTGCAGAAGGTTTGTTCTATAATTGTTAATATGATTTTTGTTTTGTATTTGTTATATTTATTATCTATATATCAACATATGTTGATGAGTTGCTTGACAAACGAAATAAAATAAAAATCAATTTGAGGTCAGATCAATCAGACACATAATTTAGATCTATATAAGCTATTTCTTGCATTTCCACTGCATTTGGTTTGCTTTTATTGTGATTCGGATTTCCTAAAAGAGCTATTTTAGTCATTCAATTAAATAGAGAAAATAAGAATCCTTAAAGAAAATAGATTATTATTATTATGAATATACCTGTATCAATACAACAAACTAACTATAGCATCATGGAAAGAAAAAATATTCATCAAAGATAAATACAACATTCCAAATCTTACAATACACTCACAGAATATAAATCATGTGATTTGCGAAAAACAAAGTTCAATAACGAACATACGGTACAGAATGTCTTGTAGCATCAGTACATGTACCACATAAGTGGTTTAATCCAGTGTTTTACAGAATTGCACATTGGGTACCCACGGCCGAACCATTCACATTTATCATATCATTTTGCCGATATCGAGTCGATAAGAGGTGTGCCAAAAAGACAACTTTTCATTGGTTGCCTCACGATTTCTTGAGGCGATTAAAAACAATGAAAACGCTCGTTTTATACGACGTTGAGTGAGACGTTAATTCTAAAAAAATAATAATTATTGTTGTCTCTGCTTGTTGAATTATTTAGTTTGGGGATAGTTTTGCCTTTCATATTGGCAAGACACGTGAAACAGGTTTACAGCGTTGACACTGCTATTTTGTTTCTGATAGTTGTTTACCTTTTCTCTCGTAGAATATAAATTTTGATAAACACGGTTTCATTGGTTAATATTTTACGTACATGATGCTGTATATCGACACAATTTACCCACATATGACTACATGTTATATTACATATAAATCAGCCGTGCGTATCCGACGATGATTTGTTGCCTACTATTACATTGTTTGTATCGTAATTGTGAAGTAACTATTTGTTATTACATTTGCACACTTGTTAATAATATAATTATTAGTATAGGTGCATGTACTAGTATTTTCTGATTGAAATGATATTTTCAATATTGCGTACTAATAACAATTGTACATACGATGCTTATAAAAACGTAACATGTCATCTTAATTGTCTTATCATAATTCACATGTAGAACGATTGTTGTAAATGATGGATCTAGTGTTTGGTATATTTCAGGCATCGGTCTGTTAAAGAAAAAAGAAACAATCAATCAAATTAGGTCGCAGTGTCTGACTTAGAACCTAACACCGGACAAATCGAGTGTGATACTAACACTTATGAAATACCTGACCAAAATGTTTATGAAGGTCTAGATAGGCAAGGCAATGCTCAATCGGATGAAACGTACCAGCATCTGTATACAGAAACCAAGAATCCAGATTGCGAAAGGTAAATACACAATAATTCGAAAGCAATAAATTTTTTTATAAAAGTCAAATGTCATATATAACACATCGGTAAATATTGATATAATTTCTTATCATAATTCACATCTTAAAGCGATTGTTGTAAATGATGGATCTAGTGTTTGGTATATTTCAGGCATCGGTCTGTTAAAGAAAAAAGAAACAATCAATCAAATGAGGTCGCAGTGTCTGACTTAGACCCTAACACAGGACAAAGTGAGTGTGATACTAACACTTACGAAATACCTGACCAAAATGTTTATGAAGGTCTAAATAGGCAAGACAATGTTTCATCGAGTGAAATGTACCAGCATCTGTATACAGAAACCAAGAATCCAGATTGCGAAAGGTAAATACACAATAATTTAAAAGCAATAAAACTTTTATAAATGTCAAGTGTCATATATAACACATCGGTAAATATTGATATAATTTCTTATCATAATTGACATCTTAAAGCGATTGTTGTAATGATGGATCTAGTGTTTGGTATATTTCAGGGATCGGTCTGTTAAAGAAAAAAGAAACAATCAATCAAATAAGGTCGCAGTGTCTGTCTTAGAACCTAACACAGAACAAACCGAGTATGATACTAACACTTACGAAATACCTGACCAAAATGTTTATGAAGGTCTAGATAGGCAAGACAATGCTCTATCGGGTGAAACATACCAACATCTATATACAGAAACCCAGAATCTAGATTGCGAAATGTAAGGACACAATAATTAGAAAGCAATAAAAATTTTTTATAAATGTCGAGTGACATATATAACACATCGGTAAATATTGATATAATTTATTTTGAATAAAGAAAAAGTAAAACATAATCGTTGCATACAATACAGATTACATTTACTATCTACTAAGCTTGATGTACAAAGTTGTATATTTCCGTCATTTGAATCGCGTGAATGTACTTTGGCTGTGCTCATGAGATTTCTCCTGTTATTTTAGCCAGACAATTAATACAAAGTATAAAGGAGTAACAAATGAATCAACAATGGGATAATTTTACTTCATCTGTTTGTATTTATTTTGATAAAATATTCGCAGCTATTTTTAAAATTCCTCCAACGGTTTATTTGTAACAACATCATAAAGTGGTAAATTCAAATATTGCTTTTTCTCCTATGGTTAAATCAATTAATGTACAATTAATACAATTAATGCACCGCCATTCTTATAAGGTACAGAATATGTATGTCATATTAAAAGTATATCGCAAAACTAACTGTACCGTCTTTAAAATTCGCCACGAGTCCTTAGGGTGTTTATTGTCATATATGTTGATAATTCATCTTTATTTCTTTATAGCAAAACGCAAAACCTTAGTCACCGACAGTCGGACACAAACAGTTTGGAAAAAGAGCATAACAATACGCATGATAGTATTTGTGACGGCATACATCACGAATATGAATTTTATAAAGCTAACGCAACTGATCATATGTACGAAACACTACAAAAAGACAAATGATACATACTAAGAACGACGTTATCTAAGATTAAGGAACACGAGTTTGTCTTTTCATGTAGGCATAAGCTCTCTTTATACTAGGCATCGGAATTACGTTAGACTTAAATGAATGCTAGAACTTGCGAAACAATATAGCTAAAGCTACATGAGTTGAAAAAAGTGTAACCAAGAGGTTTCTTAGAAGTGTTCGGCAACACCTTAAATAAATCTGATTCCATGCACACCTATGAAGCATCTATAATAAATTGATATGATGAAGTTGGACTTCTAAAAATAATATCCTTATATAGAGAAAATAAAATACAGAGTTTACAAAAAGGAAACATGTATACTTATTTTCATTAAGGCTTTATGATTTAACAATAACAAAGAAAAAGACAAATCATTTTTAACAAAGAAAAGTACATTTAGATCTACACAAAAGTTTGAAATCTATTTTTTTTCGTTTAAACAAAAATTGTATGTATTTTGTTTATGTAGAGCTAAGATATTTTTATTCATTCAAAAAACTGACACCCGTATTATCCATTGTTTCATCATAATTCAAAATATCAACGTAAATAGCTTGCAATATAAAGTGGTTTTAGTTGTCATCATGTATCTTATATAAATAGATAATTTTTACAGCTGGTTTTGAAAGATTATAATGAACAATAATGCTTCCAGACTAATGCTTAAATAAGAAAAAATCATTGGAATAATAAGCTTGAGGTATAGTTTTTAGAGAGAAACTTACAATTTCACTACATATCGAACGATAGTTATGAGATTTATAACCATAATTGTAATGTGGTAACCCTAAAATTGAGAAAGATTTAATTTTGGTGAACGCATCGGTCGGTTAGGTATTATTTCTATTGTAACATAACTAATCTTGCCATTCCATAAAAATATAATGAACATATTTTTTTAAGATAATCAGCATATTTATGCAAAACTATTGAGTTGTTTTAGGGTATTTCATTATTGTATTGTAGATTACTTTGACAGTGTTATTTAATTCACAGTTTTTGCAGTGATAACTTTGTACAAGTTGTAACATTTTAAAGGATGCGATTGTGATATCTAATATTTATAACAGTTCTTCTATATATCATTGTGTTCTTGGTGTCAAGCTATCATCCCTTAACGATGAGAAGATACAAAATTTCAGTTTTGCGAGTTTTCAATCAGCGGATGACCATGCCGGAATGTAAGATTTCAATGATAAAGTTATGAAACGTTCATATAATCTACAAAAGGCACTGACTTATATTATCTTATCACTTCTACTTTATGTACGCGATTTTTGTAAAACAAAAGAAAGAAAAGGAAGCGGCCAATTCGAAATTTGTAAATATTTTTGATGTTTTACGTCATGTTCAAATTGATCAATTTTGAGCTTTAGAATAAGAGATGCACATGCATGATTAAGTTTAAATTGAAATTTTGTATTATGTTAAACTGCATATTGATAGCACGAATAAATTTATATTTTACCTTCATTTAGCATTTACATATTTAGACATTGTAAATATCATGCTGCTAAATCTCATGATTACTGGTGTTACAATGGACATAAAGTTATGATATTTTATTTCATATTTAGCGCATATTTAGATGTATATATGTTTTATTATCTATGTGTGTCTTTGAAATAAAAGCAGGTGAAACAAGATTTAACTATTTTAAAAACCGATCCCTCCTAGAGATTGTTCTGATTTTGCTGTTTTAGACTCTACCTTGCTAAGACATCAATTGACTGTTCTTGCAGTTTTACCCGGCTAGAACGGTAAAGTTTGTTTTTATCTTTCCTATATATCTATTGTTAATTAAAAAATTTCAAATATAACAACAATCTTCAGAATGCAATGAATGAATTAGTTTCTTTTCGTTAGGAGCGCCTATTCAAATATTCTCTTACTCTACTCTAGGTTGTTATTACTCAAGCATTGGGCTGAATTCGCTGGTGTCGTTTTTTAACTTTTTCATTCAGAGATGTTTTTTTCTCTGTTTCTTCTTTTCTCTCCATCACCCTTCTTTTGAGAAAAATCATGTGACATCTGGCTCATACCGAATCTTGATTATGTTTCTTCATGTCTAATGGCATATATCATGTTATATATTGCTTATATTTTCGGGACTTTGTTTCAATTTTGAGTGCATTGTTGTATGAAAACGTTCGTTACTAGAATAATGCAATTTGAAATAAACCGAAGCATACAAAAAATGCTGTCAACAAATTTTATGAGATTAAACATGGTTACACTAACAACGCATTTATTACAAAATTGAATATTTTCAAAAAGAAGAGAAAATGGAGACATTTAGTCTATATGTATATTTTATATTTAATTTGTACAAATTTGCGCAAAATATAGGTATATTGTAAATAAAATTAATCAATTAAATTAAAATTTCAGACAGATCCTGAAAAATACCGGTGTTAATCATAACTTTAGTGTTACTGGCAGTTTTGCAGTAAATTATTCATCGTGCAGGACAGTATGATAGCTTGGTGTCAAAATGATCTGCTCATTTAACAAACTGGCTAACTTATGTTTAATTTAATCTAAACTGTCCGACCTACAACAACCTTCTTTTCAATTTGTAATGTTCTTATTGCAACCCTTTTTTCTATATTTACTCAATCCATACAACAGAGTATTGCAATCATACAATGGTCCGTCAGCCTATCACAATAGTAAGAACATCAGATTTGTATATCAGGGACCGCTTACGGCCGCTGGTTGTATATGTTCACGTGCGGGAACAAAATGGTAATTACTGATTTGTTATCAAGGAAAGTCGGTAGGAAGGACCGTCCAAAACGAACACGATACGTGTCGCTGAAATGCTAAAATTATTGATATGCATCTGATTTTAGCGTAGCAATGACCCTGTGAACTGTGTATGGGAAAGTTCATAAACAAAATCATGATGATTGAAAACGGGCAAATTTATTTTGCAAATTTATTTTGCCGGAAACAACATGACACTTACATACATATGAAACTAATATACCTATATCTGGGTGAAAAATACAGCCAAACAACATTATTAGTACATATAAAATAATTTTCCAATGTCTTGGTGAAAAATACCGAAAACATAACAATTACATAAATAAAAAAAATATTGACTATTGATAACCGTTTGGGAAAAAACCCTGAGGAGGAGGAAATTTGGAGGTGTTGGTAAAATTAAGACAGAGCAGATGTAGCGTGCTTTTCACTTCTAAGGGGGCAGGGGACATATCCGTATGACGACCCTGAGTTTTTACCCGATACTAAGCATTTTGGTAGCTTTGTATGTATTTGTGACTCTCCTAATGGAGATGAAAAAGTTAAAAATCAAGCTTTGACAGTTGGTGCCGAACAAGTTTTTGGCTAAATTTTGTGAAAAATCTAAACGTATGACAGCCACTATATTGGTAAAACAGATTTTGAAATATTTGGAATAGTGTGTCTGGCCACATGAAAATACCAAATTGTTCATTTTTATGTCCCCTGCCCCCGTAAAAGTTTTTTTTCCAGAAAGGCTGATGCCGTTACTTGATTGGTTGATAGAGAGGACGTGATGTTAAGGGTGCTCTCAGATTGGCCAATGTCAAATACATGGAGTGACCTAGATTTAGAGTCGGTTTGATTTACTTAATGTTCAACAATGACATAAAATATTTTATCTATCTATAAAATACATTTATACATTCAGTATTGCAGTTACCCGAGGTAAATGTAAAAATAGAAATACACACTAATTTAAAAGGTAGGATATTGTTATATACAACAAGAAAATTTTTACATACATTCGTATGTAATATAGGTACGATTGCATACTACTTTTTGTGAAGACTTTTTATGTCTGCAACATTAAAGGTGTAATGTAAAATGAACAAACATGTCATGAGACATTTTATATCTTTAAACATTTTCATGGAATGTAATTAATGTATCATCATATTAAAGTTGCATCCGATGAGAAAAATGATTTCAAGGAATCAAAATATGAAAAGAAATTTCACGGTCAATTGACTGCTTTGAAGCATAATAACAGAATAAAATTACAGGAAATTAAAAACCTTTTCAATACACTAAAGGTAGAATTTCATTGTAAGTAGTCACAGATTTGAGATATGATAATTTATTCATATTAACATCATTATTGGTTATATATTTATAAAAAAAACCGAAAGGCACAGTTTGTAAATATTTATTACAATAAATTATGAAAAAGGTGTTTTCCATCCTATGCGACGCGCCGAAGTTAGCTATATTTATAATTCCATTCCCGCGCTAAGTCGCGGTGGTTCTTTGGATAATCACTTGATACTGTAAATGGCAGCCATTTTACGATACGAAAATGCCTGGCCCTCCTCGGACAGTTTATCCTGCCGAAAAGATATGAAAAAATACTTGCAATTCAAAGTTTGTTTGCTACATAAAGATTATCGATTTACTCTTTTTGCAAACCTTTTCTCTGCCTGATTGTTATAATATTGATGTGTTTTCATTGGCTTAAACCATCACGTTATCAATACACATAAAGGTGTGAACTAATTTCGTGTTCATTAAAATTATTCCGTTTATAGACATATAACAATCTTATTTACAAATGAATTGATAAAACAACAATCCCAGAAGCATTTAAGATAATAACAATCATTGAAAAAAATTAAATGCATATAAATTGTAAATTTGTGTATGACAACTCAACCTCCCCCCCACCCCCCAAACCAAAACATAATAGACTCAACCAAAACAAGCGTCTGCTTCTTTATCTAACTATGTAGTTGCATGACCATGATCAGCAACAGCAAACCAAGTGTAAGAGCTAAAGCTATTGTAAAAATAATACTATTACCATAGCAGATTTCGTACAGAAAATCGCTCCAGTCAGTCTGTTTTATATACGTCGAATTGGAAGGTATTAACAAATGGTTAACTAGTTGTTTAAGAAAAAAAGTTATATGATATGTTGAAACATGGATATGAATGATGATTTTATTCTTCTTCTTCCTTATTATGTGCTATATTCATGGTAAGTAAACTCATGTTATTTTATGTCATAGGCCAATTGAACGATAGAAATAGGTAATTCATAAAGTTAGTCTATTCAAAACTTCACTGTGTCATGTTAACTGAGCTATTTTGGGAAATCGTTTTACATCATTGCACTATACTGACTTGTTATATTCTAGTTACATTAAAAAAGAAATTGTAATTACGTAACTGATATTGAATATGGTAATACTAAATATGTGAAAGCTAATCGTCGTATGTAATTAGGAACTATAATTATTAAACAATATGTATTTCAAGTTCAAAAGGTCAATCACGATGTGGCAATCTATATAAACTAGGTACGTTTGCGATAAATACCCATTCATATAATCATAGAGATATATACATATGTATACATAAGCTGATATTTACTTTTCTTTGACAAGAATGAGCTACCACTCCATGTACTTTTTAAGCTCGTAGTATATCGAGTTTGTTTCAGGCTTTATGAACAGTACGTTATAAAATGACGCATACATGTTTGTTTGTTTGTTTGTTTGTTTAGATAAATAGGACTCGATGTGGACATGATACATCCGTTTACGCCTTAGAATACTTTAAAGATGTATGCACTTCTAAGGCATCAGTTACGATAGATGTAAAACAAGATAATAACTTGAGATAATGTGCATTTTATTCTCGAAAAGTCCGTCATAATATATATAAATGTAACGCGAATATTGAATATCGACAGCATTAGCTATTTGTAGCAGAGAGATAATATATTAAATAATAAGTGTGCATGTGTAATACAAAAAGATTCTTGTCCCCTTCCACTCTCTTTAATGCACCCAAAAGAATTCAAGCGTAAATTGTTATGCCCTTTGTCGTTCTCCAGTCCCTTAACAATGTTATGCCTTCAACGATCAAAGGAAATAGCAGATATGTTAACCATGTTCCTGCAATATACATGCACATGTGCACGTTTGGATTCCTGGACACTTCAAATATTGTCTCGGCAAAATATGTGTTTAATATTTTGCAAACATTTTGATTATAATTAGACAATGATGATTTTATTCTTCTTCTTCCTTATTATATACTGTATTCATGGTAAGTAAACTTATGTTATTTACGTCATAGGTGAATTAAACGATAGCAATGGGAATAAATAAGCTAATCAATTCAAAACTTCACCGTTTAATGTTAACTACGAAATATCCCATAAACTGTTTTTGGAAATCTTTTTTTACATCATTGCATTATACTGACTTGTTTACTAATAATACTAAAAATGTTGTGTCGTCTCGGTATATAGGAAATGATGGAAAAAAATTCTTAGTAGATATGTTAACGATAATGCAGCAATATTAAAATTGCACGTTTGGATTCCTTGGTACACTACAAATTTTTGTGTCCACTCAATATCTGTTTAACATTAGATAAAAATTTTAATCATAATGAGACAATGTTATTCAAAAAGATTTTTTAAAGTTTATATCAGAGTGAGAATACAATGTACTATGTGATTACTCTTTATGTAAATTATATAAAAAGGATAATTTTCTGTCAGTACACATATTATCAATCCGTACTATGTAGGACAATCTACTAAACATCATAGCCCTGAGGCAAAACACCATAATCCGTTTTATCTGTTGTTGTTGTTGTTGTTAATGATTATTATAATTGGTGTTTTTTAAATCAATTATGATTCGTCTCAAGTCTTTGGGACTTTATTGATGCTGAAATTAAGAGTTATAGAATAATATATAAAATAACAGAGAAACAAATCAGCTTGACAACTAGAATAAAAACTCCTTTTTTGACATAAATCGTGGTACTTCTCCTAGCATAAGGACAATTAAGTTAAAGCATGTTTTGAACAAAGTTTATGAATGAATCCCTTCCTAATTGAAGGATACATTATTTATTACTCAATTAAATTTGCACACGGGATTATATTGCTGACGTCTTTAAGTTCACGAGATGAAATAAAATAAAATCTGACACAAAAAAAAAACACATTTTCTTTTTATTTTATTCTTTAACTGAAATGTTCTTGATATTAACTTAAATATCGGTTCTCCCCACTGGTATCCTTTCAGACGTATATAAAAACATGAAGTCTTTAGCATGAAAATAAATACAAAAATCAACGTTAAATTGTGATGATATATTTGTTTTATACAAAACAATGAATGATCGCTTGTTTTGATAATTAAAACAACGATTCTTGGAGAAGAAAAGTTACATCGCGAAAGTTTATATCAGATTAGCCTTTGAAATGTAAGCGGCCGCCTTTTTTAAAGTTGAGTCCTTCACGGGAGGAAAAAAAATGTGTTTGATTCATAGGGATTTAATTCTACATGCATGTATTTATCAAGTTCACCTTTGGCTTGCTCTAAACAGTCCTGACAATGTCAGAGTCGTAAGCAAAAATAAAATTGAGGTAGATCTACCACATGGGTAAGTCCTTTAAAAGTAGTTTCTTTATCGAAAAGTGTGAAATTATATTTTGATAATTTTCACTGTGAAATTATCAAATATAATTTTCACGGATAAATCAGTAATCCACTTATAAGCATAAAATAAATCGATCATAATGTTATTAAAACGTTTCTTGTTTTGTTAGATCTATTTGTAGAAATATGCAGCAACGACAACGTGACGGCACAAAAACTTGTCTACATAACTATAACTAGAGTTCCAAGATTTCAGCAGATATTATGTGAGTGTTTGATAATGAAATACCTTCAGAGGTCGACATTTCGTTCTTTTTATAGGGTGATATGATTCCTCAAATATTAAGCTTTAAAGTCAACAACAATGAAGTACAGTCAGGAAAGCAAAATACGTCCACACAAAAGGATCGAAGTCTTATGCTTTCTGTCCTTAAAAATGATAGTTTCAAAACTGAAAAAGCTTGCTTGGTGATTCCGTCAGGTAAGAAAACAACGTCATGTTATTTCTATATATATTTTAACTATATAAACCAGTTGTGTGCGAGTCATTTTGATTTATTTAATGAACGCTAGCATGACAATTATAAATACACATGTATCGGTAGAACAAAATACCTATAGCGTCTTGGTAAATGATAGAATGCATTCTTTATTACAATTACAATGCCAAATCTTACAACATACCCACAGAATGTAAGATAAAAAATAACTTTAATCGATCATGTCAACAAGCACGCAGAAAATATGCAATGGTTCCTGTGGTGTAGTGGTTAGCATATTGAACCGACAATCGAAGGACTGCGTCGTTCGAGTCCTTGTTGCAATTTTTCGTGTGTGTTTTCCTGTTTATATATTATAACTAACATTTGAAAGGCCTGTTCCAGAGATTCACATAATATGATTTTATTCAACTCGTTCAATACATTTAGTATTAAACCTACACTCATGCAACATCCTCTATTTGTTGCTGCCGAGTCGTCTCCCTTGTTCCGAATATTTATCTGAATGACGTTTAGATTCAACCAGTGTTCCTGACAGTGCAACTTTCAATATTGTACCTTACATGGTTGGCACTATTAGATAAATCATCTCATATTTTCTTTCATTGTATCTTGAATTAGCCTTTTGTGTATTAAAATAATAAGAAAGGGTGAATTTTCAGGAAATATATTTTAAATTAGCTCTTCATTGGGGTTGCATCACGGAGAAAGCCAAAACGTTGTAAGGACTGAACATGGCTTACAGCAAACCGATGTCAGAAGTTTTATTTTCTGTTGTCAAAGTTATTGATAACGTATCAAAAGAAAGCTTGACATAAAGTTTGACGAACAAAAAACAACGTTCCAAACCAAAGTGTAACCTAAAGTTGGACAAACTTAGTCCAAATCATTTATAGAAAATGTGATATAAAATATAAATTCTAACAACCTTTATGTTATTCTTCTATCAAACAGATAGGGGAAACAGGTGCATTATGACAAGATGTATTCACAGCATTGAAAGGGATGCTTACACGTCATATGGCGTCAGATATGGCATCTATAAACCAAATGAGGTCAAGAAAATTACTTCTACGCTTTATATAGTTCAACATATTTTTATCAATTCCCGTTTTAATTAGCATGTCAGAATGGAAAAAAGATATTCAGGTTTCGTGCATTATACTGTTATAATGCGCGTTTATTTTTTTTAATTCAACCGTGCATGTTACATCAACAATGCATTCAAAATTGATAATTATTTCCTAAACAATGTCTCGGAAAATATAAGCAAACTGTATATGGAATGTCTCTTAACATGAAGAAACATAATAAAGATTCAGTATGAGACATGTGTGACACACAAAAGGGTGACGGGGAGGAAAGAAAAAAAAACTAAGAACATTTAAACATTTCTTTAAATTAGCGATCTTTGTGTAGTGTTGAAGAAAGATTGGAGTTTATTCAACCTAATGATTTAGGGACAACAAACAGGGAGAAAAGTAAATATATATAAATTTTTGTTTTAGTTAAATGTTCAGTTACACAATAGATTTGGAGAAAAAAAGAGAAAAAATAACTCCCTTACATATGATTTTATGTTGCTTTGTTTTTGGCTCTTCTGCTGATTGGCCTATATTGAGATTGTTTGAGATTATTTAATTTTGTACAGAGCTACATCCGTTATGAACGATAAATATAGATTTCTAGAGCTATGTTTTTTTCTCAATATTTTTTTAATATCTTTTAATTCTCTACAATTGTTTGCACTTTCCTGCGGATTTAATTTTCAATTGATGAGTGATGACATTACTAAATATCCGTTTGTTGTCTTTGTCCACTTTGTCCTCGATAAATTTGCTCGTGCTTGTACTAGAGTTTGGCTCTGGGCCTGACGATAAAGTTGTCATTTCGGTTATAGCATCTGCACGCATATCGGTGCTATATCTGTGGTCGTTATTGGTATCCACTTTTTTCTCAATAAACTTGCTCGTGTTTGTACTAGAGCTTGGTTCAGAGCCTGACGATAAAGTTGTCATTTCAGTAGCAGGATCTGCAAGCATATGGGTGCTATATCTGCTGTCGTTATTGGTATTTACTTTGTTCTCAATAAACTTGCTCGTGCTTGTACTAGAGCTTGGTTCAGGATCTGACGATAAAGTTGTCATTGCTGCAATAGAAACTGCATAAGAACACTTCTGTATAATTACATATCGTTCTAAAAAATCGTTAACTTGAACACCAAAGTTGGTTCGCTCATGTAATAAAAGTTTTCTGTTTATTATAATTGCTTCATTATAATTAAAAACTCGTTAAAGTTTGTCTACCAGTACACATTGAAATAATAACATAAGTGTCTCTTCTAATTAATAATAATAAACATAGTAAATAAAAGATTATTACTGTTCAAAATAGTAACAGCTATCAATTTTCAAAATACCACAAGGAATGACACGTTCATAGAATGAAGACCCGACAAATTCAGCTATACAGGACTACCGCAAAGACACTCAACATGACATCAAAAATGGAGTGCACATATTTGTCCGACATGGAGTGGGCGAACTAATAAGTTATAAACTCATTCGATTATTTGTAATTTTCTAAGAACAACATTATCGGGAACAAACTAACATCCTATGGTAGGTTCATACTTCCATACGGTTGGCTGATATCATTTTTGATATTAATATTTTAGAGTAAAAGGAAAACACTTTATAACAGTTACTATATAATTGTCCTTGATTATATTTGGTATTTGAAAGTAATGACATAAAAGCCCCTAGAAACGTCAATAAGTTTTGGTTTAGGTGTGGAACAACATTGCCTAACAACGCATTACAAATACTAGTCTTGTGTTGTCGATGAGGCAACATGTACCTCCTGCATTGCTAGCCATGGAAGTATAATTAATTGTGATTATCAATATTGAGGGTGATTCTCTTTAAAATAAAAAACAAAAAACGAATCTGTTCTAATGAATATCAAATCGCGGTTTTTTTATGTCTGACGTTTTTACCATATATGGATGTTGAATATTGCCAAGTTCCATTAAAATTTACGTATGTTTACTATATATGTTAACCAGTTCATAAAATAATCGGAAACAAAAATACAGCTGCTATGTACTGAAAGGCACTATTATCCAGAGATTATGTTATATTTCCGGCATCAATTAACCTAAGAATTAAGGCTACGTCGGACGATGGAAAGACAACAATTAAAAAAAAAAACACAACCGTTAACAAGATGCAGCCCAGATGATGGCAATAATAACTGTACAAACATGTTCATTTCAATTGGAAACAAATATTTCTGGTTGAATTAAAATACTTTTCTTCAGTTATAAACGTGAACATGTAATAGCAAATTAAACCATTTAACTTGATCAAAATAGAATATGTGGTATCAAAACATTACAACGCAAATTTAAAATATTAAAACGCAAAATGTTAATAGATGATGTTTGTAAATTAAACCTTAAAAGCTCGGACATGTTATAACAGTGAATGATTTAAGTATTTAGTATTGACATAATCATGAACATTGCATGCACATATATCGCTTACTGTATAATATACGCATCAATTAACTAGACGTTAGAATAACATCTATTTTATCACAAAAGCCGAACTTACGACAATCATTTTCATCAGATCCTTCTAAGCAGTCCTTATTCCCATCACATTTCAAACTACTTGATATGCAAACATGGTTTTCACACATATACTGGCCACCGCTACATATGTCATGACCTAACATTTAAATAAAACATGGTATACCGAAATGAATATTTTCAAATAGATGAGTGTTTTATACAAGGAAAGACAAACTTTGTGGAAACTGATTTTCAATTATTAATTGATCAAAATTAACTGTAGGACGTGTAAAATAAGTAGATATTTACAATATACATTGTACATGTGTCTATACATATTTTGTTTAAATGTACTTACAGTGTTCGCCTTCATCCGAGCCATCTGTACAGTACCAGTCATTATCACACTTCCAGGACCAAGGAATGCATCTCTCAGACATGAGACAGTCAAAGTGTAGTGATGGGCAGACTTGATTAATGTTTGTACAATTGATACTTTCATCTGTATGATCAACACAATCGAAGTCACCATCACATTTCCATGAGATAGGAATACACCTGGTTTTATTATCACATCTGAATTGATCATTTGTACATACTTTCGCTATAACAGAAGACAAATGGTATGGTATTCTGATATCAATGTATCTGTTTATCAATTAATCATGTTTTGAAGTAAACAAATGTAATAAAATATTAATACAATGAAAAACCATCAAATGTCATCTACAGTAAGTAAATATTTTAGAATAGTAACAACATTTGGCATTGTAATTTATCATCACAGTTAGTGGTATTGACATGTCTAAACAATCATGCTTACCAACACAATGCCACAAACTTGATATGCATTTACCTTTGTTGAACATGAATGGTTTTGGATAATATGCTTAAATATAATGAGGGTAAATTTTAAAACTCATTATAACTTAATAGTCGCCAAAGTAAATTACTCCTAGTAGTGATGAGTAGATTGTCATGGTTCTAGAACACTCACTTAAAACTGCATTGTTCATACGTAAAACAATTTTATCCAAAAAAGACAAATGAAGCAAAAAAATTGTATAGGGAGATAGGTCTTACTACAATTTTGTTCGTCAGCGCTATTCAAGCAATCTATATCATCGTCACATATAAAATCATAGCTGATACAAAAACCATCCCCACAAGAAAAGTCATTATTTGAACATATCTCTGTGCCAACAATTTCTTCTGAAAATGAAAAGATGTTGGACATATGTTGAAAATTTACTGAATACATTTTTCTAAAACATGCATCATTCAAAGATAATGGCAACTTGAACGTGCCTTTGTTTGAATATCAAGGACACTACTTCTATGTTGTAAACAATGTCATATTCAACTTTTTACCTTTTACCTAATGCCAGAATATTTTCTAACCATTTTTCACACAAAAAACTGCCATGTTGTTATCGCAAATTTAACTTTTTACCTATAAATCAAACATCCAATTTGGGTTATAAAGGATAGATCGTATATTTTTATCACTAATATACTACTACAGAGGTATCCGTTCCCGTACAAAGATGTAGTGATCACTTCACAGTAAGTTTCACATCCGAAATGTGAAATCAAAATGAGTACACAGAACCGTTTCAAAAAAGTGATTAAGTAAATTTTGTTAAATAATTTTCGAAAGCTGCTTTTAATACTCCTGAAATAATTTTAAGTAAATATTTTTAAAAATCGGTGGCCAGGCCGTGAGCAATTTCATATCCAATGTATATCTTTTGAATCGATCGAAGGAAATCAAAATTACTTGATAGAAATTTTAATGGAAATGAGACAATGTGTATGAAATTGAGCTTTATCGAATCAATATCGTTATGAATAAAGTTTGAAGTTGTGTGAATACTACTACGTACTTTTTAAACTGTAAACTGATGGGGTATTCTTATTAGATTTGCAGAAAGCTATCGAAACTGTTGACCACACGATCCTTTTAGACATGTCAATGACATGTGAGATGTTGAACAAAAAAAAAACACCTTTATTGTACGCAGATGGTTTTGCTATTTTAGTTTCTGGTATGTATATAAATCTGAAATTGAATGTTTGCTAAAAAAAGACCTTGAACAAGTTAGTAAGTGGTTATTGATAACAAATTGTCATTACATCTAGGGAATCAGAATCAATTCTATCTGGGTCACATGTTTAGAAAGAATCAAACCTTAATATTATTGGCAATGGTACTTCTTTTTAACACATTGAGTCGGTCAAATATTTAGAAACCACCTAAGACTAAAGCTTGAGCTTTGAGACTATGGTTACATCAGTCATTAAAAAGCAAATGCAAAACTTAAGTTTCTTTGTTGACAATAAATGTTTTATCTTTTTTTATAACAAGAAAATGTAAATATTGTCTTTAATCCAATGTCCTTTTGACTATTGCAGCACGGTTTGGTACTATGGTAGTTCTCAGAATTTGTGAAACAGGCTCCAAGCTATTCAGAAAAATATTATTAAATGTGTGCTTAAACTTGATTAAAGAAGTCACATTAATATAGGGCACATTTAAAAGTAAGGCTGATTACCTGTTTTAAGAAGAGTCGAGCAAATCACTCTTAATCGTGTTTTTTTAGATACATAATGATTCTGCCCCTTTAAACATGAATGAACATTTTATTTCAGCCATTTCTGTACATAATCATAAGTACCAGGTTTAGTAAAGAGTCTTGCTTCAGAATTCCTTAAGTGAAAGGGTTTGGTAAATAGTCATTTTTCTGCAACGGTTGTTCCAAGTGGAATATACTACCACAAGATATAAAGAATTCGACCAATCTGCAACTGTTTAAGGTTTCTGCCAAAAAGCAACATCTGTTAACTAGAGTGTAGAATGTTTTTATTTCATCTCATTAATTCCATCTTCTTGATTAATTAGAATGTTAAACAAAGAACTTGTGCCTGGCACATGTCATTATACATCCTGGACCACAATGGAAACAAATCATTTCACTGCCACTTTTTGTTTACTTTTGGGTAGATTTATAAATGTCCTGGCACATGTTTCATTTTATTTATATTAACTTGGGGTATTTGGTATTTTCAATATAAAGTCTTTCAAAATAATTTTTATTTTACTACGTTTATATTTTTCTTCTTATCACTTGTCTTAAGGTTTTGTTTTTACAGTCATGATTACTTTTATTTTTATTATGCTATTTTTTTGTTGTAGTTACAATCATGACAATTAATATGTGATATTGTTTTCGTTTTGTACCATGAAATGCCATTTATTTATAAATTAAAATATTATTTTTTGTTTAATTTGTTAGAAATGTTTATTATAATGAGACGGTATACAAAACAATTCCTTTGACTTTCTGAAGTCGGCAAATTACACTAAGTCATTTAAATTCCTAATTGAGGTATAAATTAAAAGGGAAAATAGTCCGCAGTGCTGTGTTTATTGGTTTGTTATCTCCCTGTATTTCCTTGCTAACGTAAAAATATAAGTAGTGAAAGATTCTTAAGCCGATACCTACTTGTTCATTTTACTGGTATTTCTATGTGACTTGGGATCCAACATAATTTTTCTTAGTATCTTTATCATACTTTAATGCGTGATCTTCATAAAATGAAGAATTATTTGTGATACTTTTTTTTCTTTGTTAAACGGCACATTGGCAAATAACTGGTTTTCGTGAAAGATTAATAAATAAAAAACATTTCAAACTTAAAAAAAATACGTACGTTACTCTGAATCATGGAAACTAACAATTGCTAAGAATATATGAAAGAAGAATTTCACTAGTAAAAAAGTGATTAAAAGGTGAAGGAAGACATTAATTGAAAATAACTGCCGAACAATAAAAAAAGTTCATTATTAACTAATTAAAATCTTTTATTTGAGCTGTCGTTATAATAAAAATGAACATACCGGACATATTCCATAATGAAAGACACAAAACACCGACACGCGTTAGAAATGCCATACTGTTTTGAAAGTAATATAAAACAATTGTGTTCACACTTTATTTGATTTATAAAATATGCCGAATAAACTGGACAACTGCTTAAACATTTAGAAAGGAAAATAATTAGCTGTTCTCAAGTACACTTAGTCATCAACATGAATTACGACGTACTGATAAATATCACTTTTCAATTGTTTTCTTTTATTACTTTGTTGAACACAGTAATAGTAGAGACGTTTGCGATTGTTTCATTATTATACGAAAAATCTTTTCGCAGAATTTCTTTAACTGAGAATGTTGTTTAAAATAAGAGGCACAGTTAAAATATTGATGTGTCACATCTTTTATCCTCATTAGATATTTTCACATCAACATTCGCCACTTGCCAAGTTAATGATCATGAAATAGAATTCAAATTTAACGAACAAAATAAACGACAATGCTATTATTACTGTGTTCAACAATACAATTAAAAACAATGTGAAAAGACATATATCTCTTTTTGAGTTTGTAAAAAAAATAAGAAGCAGTATTGCCTTTAATACTTGAAATCGCATATAACACAAGTATAAATCCACATAATTATGTTTTAGCGCTATGCAAATAACAGATTACGCACAAGTAAAACAAGGCATTCTGAAGGACAGCTAAATCCCATTCCGCACCGGACATGAATGTGTGCTTCTTGACCTTTGAAAAACTATGACCTTGACAGTAATTATTTGTGCAAAGTTATTTAAAATATTCCATAAAGTCAACAGTTATGGAGGAGAACATTTGACCTTAACCATGGGGGTAGCAACCCAATTATTGTTCTCTGCATATCATCTCATAATGGTTATCACTAGTGCCAAGTTGTTGTTTGTTTCAAATCAGCGGTTCAAAACGGACATGAGATGTGGACTTCTTTTACACTGGACCTTTAAATGTGACATTGACCTTAGGGGTAGCAACCCAATTATTGCAACCTGCACATCATTTCATAATGGTGATGACTTGTGCCAAGTTATTTTATTTTTTACAGCGGTCTAAAAGTTATAGATTTGACAGAACATTTCCACTTTTAACTTATGACCTTTAGGTGTGAACTTGACCTTTGGGGTGTCAACCCAATTATTGTGCCCTGCACATCGTCTCATAATGGTGATCACTTGTGCAAAGTTTTTTCAAAACAATTTCAGTAGTTAAAATTTATGGAGCGGACATGGAATGTAGACATTTTAACACTTGCCATTTAAGTGTGAGATTGATCTTATGGGAAGCAACCTAATTATTGCGTTCTGCACATCGTCGCATAATGGTGATCACTTTGTCAAATATTTAAAAAAAATATTAAGTGGTTAAAAAAATTATGGAGCGGACACGTAATGTACACATTTACCAATTGATCTTAAAGCGTGACCTTAACCTTGGGGGTAGCAACCCAATGATTGCTCTCTGTATATCATCTCATAATGGTTATCACTTGTGCCAAGTTGCTTTTTTTTAAATCAGCGGTTCAAAAGTTATAAAAAGGGACATGATGTGTAGACTTTTTACACTGGACCTCTAAGTGTGACATTGACCTTAGGGGTAGCAACCCAATTATTGCAATCTTCACATCATCTCATAATGATTAAATATATGGAGCGGACACAAAAGTGTACGGACTCACAGACGGACAAACTGACAGACGGAGGTCATTCCTATAATCCCTGGCTTCATGGAAGGGGATTAACAGATGACCACAATAGAGGAATAATGCAATTTTTTGTGCATCTGCTGCAGCATGGATACAAATTTGAAGACCAAACCAACAGTGCGAGTGATTTAAAACATTTATATTTCGAAGCTTCTTCTGTAGACCTATGCACTTGTAGGTAAGAAAGTGCTATTCGCACGTAAGACGGTGCTATTCTGACATGAAAATATACGTTTGTTCGAAATTCACGTTTCGTTGTTTTTCGAAAGAAACCAGTCTCGTCATGCTTCTCACATGTGAACACGATGTTATTTTACTGTAACAGTTATACTTTTGTTAGTGAAATTAACGGGTCTGTCAGAAACTGTCCGTGCTTGCTTATGCTTGTTTTCTTCTCCGTTAATGTATAGCTGCGCGCGCAGCTTTTATGCAAGAAGTACTATGTAAATGTTATACATTATCATTGAAATAACCGGAACGATAAAGAATATTTGTATGATCCTTAAAATTAAATGTAGCTGAAAACCTGTGTCAATTAATGCAAGTGATAACATCAATTATCTTTCGAGGAGATACTATTGCATAATCTAAAACATATTATAACAATGCAATTGATAAACTGAAAAAAGTAA